CAGGTGGTGCACCCACCGCGGCACCAGGTGCAGCAGCGAGCCCCACATGTCCGCCTCGCTCGTTGACGAGTAGAGCCACAACTCGAACAGCACCTGGGACGTCAGACAACCTACGTCAGCGCATGTGTGCGGTACGACACGCATGACACACACGACACATGCCACATGCCACACGACACATGGCACACGCACGACGCACCTTGAGTACGTGGGAGCAGAGGCGCTTGGTGAGGCCCTCCTCGCTCTCGGGCAGAGAGAGCAGCGAGTCGGCGATGCCCAGCAGGAGCTTAAGGAAGATCTCCCAGGTCTCCTCGTCCAACGCAGAACTGCGCACGGCGCCGCCGAACAACACACCAATCACGTCACACTCGTTGCAGCGGCGGCGGTATCACTGGTGTTGTGGTGTGTGTGTGTGTGTGTGTGTCGTGTGTGTGTCGTGTGTGTGTCGTGTGTGTGTGTGTAAAGAGAAAGGAACCTCTCGCGTCCAAGCGCATGGTAGATGTTGAGTGCGCGCTTGCACAGGGCGGCCTGGGTGTCGAGAGAGTCCGGAAGCGCGGTCCGGGGCTCGAACAACAGCGAGTAGTGGCACAGGATTTGCTGTGTGGGCCAGACAGATACAGATGAGCGTTGGACGACACACGACACACACGACTCGCATGCACGCGCACGCAACACGACACATGACAGAGTAGACGCGTGAACGTTAAAAAAGAGAGCACGTACACGAATGAAGAACTGCGGCTCGGAGTTGATGGGAGATGGCCTCTTCGAGGAGTCGAGCAGCCATCGTCGGTAGAGCTCGATGGCCGTGCTCATGATCTACGCCGCGTAGTGACACCGCGTAGTGGCATCAGCGTGTGCGGCTGTTTTGAAGATGGGGGGAAACGTTGTGCGACGCACACACAGTACCTCTTCGCTTTCCATGGGGAGGGTGAACGAGGCGCCCACGCTCTCCATGGCCCACCGCACATGCGCGACGCTCGTGAGTGCCTGGCATCAATTTTGTTTCAAACATATCTTTATCAGTTTAACATAGTCAAAGTGATATGGTGGCCAATATTTCCGCAGTATGCAGCGAACATGTTCAACTGACTTTAATAATAAGAATAATAAATAAATAAATTGGACATCGAGGTAATAAATAAATGGGGATTGGGAATGTACCCTGGCGCCGGCATTCGAATCGAGCAGAACGTTGACCACTTGCGACGCGAGGGTCTGCCGAACCGATAGAGGGAACTGCTTCAAAATATCGGTCGCTGCCAAAACGATTTCGGTAAAATAATTGACAAATTAATTAATCTGTTCATTATTGACAAATTAATTAATCTGTTCATTAATTAATTTGTCAATTAACGACAAGGCGCAAAGGCACCAAGAGGGGGGAGGAGAGGCCAACGCCTACCAAGCCGCGGTAGCGCCTAAGAAAGAATTAAAGATTGTGTGCGGGGGGGGGTGATTGCGTACATGG